AAAATTAGAAATTATACAAAATTGCACATAGAAATCCAGAAGATTAATACTAAATTTTCAGAAATAGATAAGACATTGATGGGCAAAGGAGTAGAACTGAATCAATAGAAGATAGAATTAGTGAGACTGAAGTCAAATTCCTCCATACTTCTTTAGAAAATGATCAATCAGAAAAAAAGATCAAAACAAAACGAAAAAGCCTAAGGTTCATGTGGGATACCATCAAAAGGAATAATCTATGTATAATCAGATTCCAGAACATGAAGATCCAAATAAAACCACAGAAAAAATTGTCAAAAACTTGTTGGAAGAGAATTCCCCTGGCATGATGAAAGATGAGAATATATCCATTCAAAAAGTCCAACAAAACCCAAACAGGATAAACCTCAAAAGAAAATCACCAAGACATAACATCATCAAACTCACAAAAACCAAAAACAAAGAAAGAATCCTGACAGCAGCATAGGAAAAACAAAAGGTTACCTACAATGGACAATCAGTAAGACTAAGCTTGGATTTCTCAGCAGAAACCATGCAGGCAAGAAGACAGTGGGATGGCATATACAAAATCCTGAAAGAGAAAAATTTCTAACTAAGAATTTTTCACCCAGCAAAATTGTCCCTCAAATATGGTGGTAAAATTAGGATATTTCCAGACAAACAGAAATTAAGGGAATTTGTGAAAACCAGACCAACCTTACAAGAGATGCTAAAGAGAGTCCTTTGGACAGAGAAGTAACAACAGCAAACAACAACGTACCATTAACACACATGATGACATAACCCAGAAACCACCCCAGCTATGGAAGTATCCAAAGTAAATAAGCCTACAAGATTGTAAACAGGTAACTAGAGATATCAATTGACAAATGAGAACAACTACAAACCAAAAAGAGGGAAAGAATTATGTATTACAGAATTCCTAAATGGTAGGTGTGGTGGTTATGTTTGTGTGTCAACTTGGCTGGGCCTGGTTGAGTGGCTGGGCAGCAGGTGGTAGTTATTCCCCATGATGAAACTGGCAATCAACTCCATGGTGGGATCTACCACAAGCAGCTGAGTGGCTGCTTTGGGAATGTGGTCTGCTTCCTGTATATAAGTAGCAGCTTTGGGAATGGTCTCCAGCTTACGGCACCTTGAACCCTGCATGTAGCCATGTTCTTGTTCAGCAGCCTGCCATGCTCTGCCGACCTTAGGACTCACAATGGCCTTGAATTAATGGCCTGCCATGTGATTTGGTGGTATCAGGACTGTGCCTTTTTACTTGTTAACCTTGGGCTTGGCAGCCTCAGTAGTCATCAGCCGTCTGAGTGAAGGAAAGCATCTAGCTTCAGTGGGCTGGGAGCTGGAGGCAGAACTGAAGCCCAAGGTCGAGGGGCTTTCACCCAGCCCCTAGAGCCTGGCACTTTGAACTTGGACTGAAGGCCTCCAAACTGTAAGAGAATAAACTTCTGTTTGTTAAGGCCATCCCATTTGTGGTATATTCTTGTCAGAGCGGTACTAGGTAACCAGAACAACAGGGAAGTCAAGACTGTTCTAAACTTGGGAAGAAAACTATAAATCACAGGGTAACCTCAAAGAAAAATTATAAACCTTCACATCAGAATAAAAAAGAGGACTACCACAAATATTTGTTGTTGTTGTTGATATGCCGTCGAGTCGGCCCCGACTCACAGCGACCCCTCCTTGGTTTCCGAGGCAGTATCACTAAGGAAGTAGGATTGCCCAACCTTCCTTCCGAGGAGTGGCTGGTGGGTTTGAACCACCAGCCTTCTGGTTAGCAGTCAAGTGCTTTAGCCACT